GAAACCCCAGAAATTAATCCATGCATCTACAACCAACTAATCTTTGATAGACAAGTTAAAATCAATCCCTGGAGGAAAGATAGTCTCTTCAACAAATTGTGCCAGGAAAATTAGATCTACACATGCAGAAGAGTGGAACACAATCCCTACCTTATACCTTATAAAAAATCAACTCTAAATGGATCAAGGAGCTAAAGCTATGACCTAATACCATTAAAATACTAGAGGAAAGCATGAGGGAAACTCTTCAATACACTGGCATAGGCAAAGACCCCAGAAGCATAGGCAATCAAACCCAAAATAGACAAATGGGATTATACCAAGCTAAGAAGTTTTCTGCAAAGCCAAGAAAACACTTAACAAAGTGAAGAGGAACCAACAGAATGGGAGACAATATTTGCAAACTACCCAGATGATAAAGGATTAATATCTAGGATCCATTAAGAGCTCAAGAAATTCATCAACAACAAAACAAACAATCCAGTTAAGTAATGGGCAAAGGACATGAACAGGCATTTTTCAAAGGATGAAATTCAAATGGCCAAGACACACAGAAAAAATTTCTCAGGATCACTAGCCATCAGGGAAATGCAAATCAAGACTACAATGAGGTTCCACCTCACCCCAGTTTAGAATGGCTATTATCCTAAAATCAAAAATAATAAACGCTGGTAAGGATGGGGGGAAAAGGTACCCTAATACCCTGTTGGAGGGAATGGAAACTAGTACAAACATTATAGAATACAGTTAGGACGTTCTGAGTTATCATACAATCCAGCCTCTCACTCCTGGGTTTTAGCCAAATGAAATTAAATAAATGTATGAAAGAGTTATCTGTATTCTCATGTTTCTTGCAGCTGACTGTACAATAGCTAAGATATGCAATCAGCCCAAATGTCCAATAAATGATGACTGGAAAAAGAAAATGTGACATATATATATACCATGGGATACTAACGCATAAAACAGAACAAAATCCTGTTTTTACAACAAAATGGATGTGACTGGAAACCATTATGCTTAAATAAGCCAGTCCCCAAAAGACAAATATTATATGTTTTTATCTTAATGTGGCAATTAATATAAAATACAAAAATATATAGCAATAAAATGGATATCTTGTGATATGACTTGTTTTTAGCTCTTGTGGAAATGTGGTCTTCGTACTTTTTATGTATTATTATGGTTATACTCATGTGGAACCATGGTCTTCCTACCTTTTACTTATTATTATGGTTACTGGTGAATTAAGCCTGTGTTTATAGAGCAAACTGAAATTATGATTTTGCAAAAATTAAAGAAAAAAAGGAAGGAAGCAGGGTATTGATACAGAGAGAGGGAGGGAGGAAGTATGGTTATCTTCTTAGAGCTATACATATAGAATTCAAGAACCTGCTTTCTTTATATGAATAAAAATTTTAAAAATCATACAACTAAAAACAGAGAGCCTAGAATTGAATCAATAGTCTAGATTTTTTTTTTTTAATCAATCAATATGAGGCAATAGGGATGCAAGGAAGGAGGGTGGCAGTCAGAAGGCAGCAGTAGAACACTGGTCTTGGGAATGAGGACCCAGGGAAGGATGTTACTGTGTAACACCTCTCATCCTGCCTAGCAATTCCTTCTTCCTGTGACCAAAGAACAGTCATTGTGATATACGGATGAACATTTAGATGGCTACAGCTAGGCCAAGAGAAACAACTCATGCTGTATGAATATGGTGAGAACCAAGAACATTCTGACTTAAGAAAGTAAAAGATTCTATGTGAAAATATGCATGCCCACTTTCACCTTCAGAGTAACCACTGGTAACAAAAACTTCACAGGTGAAGGTAGAACAATCTGCCAAAGCACAGAGCTACGGAGGCTTCCATAAATATTTTGAAAGCCAAGGGTGAGCATTTGGCTTAACAGGTAGAACCTGGGTTAGTATGGCAACATCACACACTGGAGTCCCTGGGTTCAGCTCCAGCTCCTGAGTCCAGCTTCCTGCCAATGTAGACTTTAAGAGGCACTAGTGATTATGCAGGTCATTAGGGTCTGGCCACCTATATGGAGACCTGGATTATGTTCCCAGTTCCTGGCTTCACACCCTTACTCACCGTGGCATTTAGAGAGTAAACTGCAGATGAGAGCTCTGTCTCTCAAATATAAAAACATAGGAGCTAGTGCTGTTGCGCAGCAGGTTAGGCCACCATCTGCAGAACTGGCATGCCATAAGGTCACTGGTTCAAGTCCTGGCTGCTCCACTTCCAATCCAGCTCCCTGCTAATGTGCCTAGGAAAGCAGAGGAATATGGTACAAGTACTTGGGGTTCTGCACCTACATGGGAGACCTGAATGAAGATTCTGGTTCCTGGATTCGCCATGGCCCAGCCCTGGCCATTGAGGCCATTTTGGAAGTTAACCAGCACATGAAAGATACCTCTTTCTCTTTCTTTCTGTCTTTTCCTATAGCTCTTTCAAATTAATTAACTAACCAATTAATCTTTATATAAAAAGATGTGTGTTGTTTCTAATAGATATATAAAATAGTATATTCATATATATATATATGAATGCAAGCATTTGCTTTGGAGTTCTGGAACCTTCTAAGCAACAATAGCACCAGTTTAATCCCATTGGTCATTACCAGAATTGGCCATTCATCAAGTATGGAGACTTCCTGAATATACCCTTTTCCAGGAGGCAGAACCTGCTCATAAGAAATAATATACCACAACTAGCAGGCTAGAGTCATTTATGGAAACTGGAAAGAAGATGTCAAAAAGCAAGCCAAAAGAAATGCTGCTGAGAAATTTCTTGCCAAATATTTCTTCAGAGAAGCACATTTCTTTAACAAATCTGTGATAGGATATTCTTTAGGATGTACTTGGCACTCCTTGAGGAATTCTCCTGGGGAAAAGATCAACTTATTGAAAAGAAGTCTCTTTAGTATTTCAAATACAGATTACATCCAGCTGCTTAGTGAAACTGCCAGCAAACAAGGTTTCAGTATAACATATTTGGATATAAAAGAAATAAGTGCCAATGAACATTATCAATGTGTCACTGAACTGTCAGCCAGTTCCATCACAGTCTGTCATGGCTCAGGTGCCTCTATAGCCATGTACAAAGTAAGGCAGTCCATAATACTTTGCAGTAGTTATTTTTTTTTTAAACCTAACAGCAGAAAGAAAGTACTACTGGAACCATTTAGAAAATTCTTGAGAGCACATAAAAAGTATCCTCTCTCAAGCCTTCCCTAGGAAAACATATACTGTAATGTTAAGTTTGTGTGTTGTTTCTAAATCTTTTCATAGGTTGCATTAACACTCCAAATCTAGTTATTTCCTGTACTATATGTTTCAATTGTGCTAAAAGGCAGAGTGTAGTCCCCATTTTACATTGCCATGCACACAGGAGGAATAAACTGCTGACAATGATTATGATGAAACAAAACTGCTAGTAACAGTCATCTTACTGGTGCTTAAACTCTTCTTTGTCTAAGGCTTCATGCAAAGAATTTGAAGAAAATCCTTAGAATTAGAGGGTTGAGAGACAGTACTAACTTACATTTCAGGGAACATGATTGGTCTGCTATGTATGTGAATCTATGTGATGAAGAGCAGTTGTGATAATGGGACTCTGTTCATTTCATTAAAGAGATTACTGACAGAAAAGTTCAGTATGAGGTCCTGTACCTGAGGGAATGTGGCTGGAAGGGCCCACTTTTTTATGTACTTTATATTCTACCTAAAAGACTTGTCTCTTTTCAATATTTTCTCCACACTACAGCCTAGGAAGTAATGCTAAATAAGGAGTCAGCAGACTGTGGCCAGATCTGATTTAGATTCACAGTACTTTTTTTCAGTTTTGATATTTGGGAAAAAAAAAACAACAACAAGAACTGTACTACTTCACACTTAAAAATTCTATTATTTCATATTTATATTCATACTCATATGAAGATGTTTTCTTGAACATTATCAAACTATTTGTTTATGTATTGCCTATGACGGCATTTGTTCTGCAGTGGCAGAGCTGAGCACTGCACAAGGGACTGAATGGCTTGTGAAATCTAAAATATCTGCTACTTGCTCCTTTACAGAAAAAATTTGCAGACCCCAGGTCAAAACAATAATATCACTGTCCTGGGAAGCTTTAGCAGTCTGGAGAGTGAACCAGCAGATAAAACACTGTCTCTCTCTCTCTTTCTCTTGCTGCGACTTTCAAATACATAATTAAGTCTTTTTTTTTTTTAAAAATCTACTTCATTGTGGAGAACATACAGCCTTTACAGTTTTCTTGCATTTAAGAAGCTTTTGTTCCAGTGTTTCTTTGATAACAGCAGAAATCCTGTGGAGCAGAATATGCTGGAAAATCAGGAAAGGATCCTGCTTTTATTCATCTGACATCACTGTGCCATTCTGTGGAAGATCTCAGCAAACAAGAAGCTGATACAGAATACACAGATCTGTAAGGTACTGGTTCTCCAGTTAATATATGGGAGAACTATAATGTGTGTTCCTTTAGAACCTCTTAGATCCACTTTGCACTGTGGTTTGCTTTAAGTGAAGACATTTGTAATTTGTTCCTTCTTACTAAAATCTAAGGGAAGGTCTGAGTACATCCAAAGTCTATGGGGCTCTCTGTTTGCCCTATGTTGATTTCTGAAGCTGCATTTCTTCAGAACAGATTAGAAAGACATTTAAGCGTATTAGACAGAAAGGTGTCAAATTCTCACAAGAAGGAACATGAGGAGAAAAGTTCAAGAATTATAAATTCTTAGAAAACATAAAAGATCCTTTGGACCCTGGCAAGCCAAATGTCAACCAGTCAAAAGATACTAGATGGCTATTGACTAGTTCCACGAAGGCAAAGCTTCAAGCCAAGATGGGATAATGCTTCCGCACCATGTGTCTAAGGCTGCAAATGACACTAATCCTTTTTAATGGTCACAGAGGCTGACAACTTACTCAGCTTTAGAACTAAAGGACAAAATCATCTTTGAGGACTCACCATAAACAGGTCACGTGCACCAATGTCAACAGCTAGCAGGAATGCCTTTTCAAATCTCTGGTGCCTAGAAGGAGCAAAGAAATGTTGCATAGATATTAGTTTTGAAAAAAAAAACTATATAAAAGGAGAAACCTGTTTATTTAATGTATTTATATAATACCGTTCATTTTTCCAATGGGAAAAACATTTTCAAACTGGCCTGTTATGATCTTGTATATGTGAAATGTTACTGCACTCAGAAGGAGCTGTGGCACAGCCCTGTGGAGGTCTTCAGTGTAATTTTTCATGAGCATAACCTCAAGTAGACACTGTTGAAGGTGGTGAAATGATAGCTTAGAAAATAAGTTTATCATAATTTTCACTTGATTGTGTTTTATAAGAGAAACGTATGGGTGTACTGAAAATATAGAATAAGACCAATGAATGAATTGTACAATTATATAGTTTTGTGTTTCTTAGGTAAAAGTTAAGAAATCAAATCTTGGAATACGGCTAGAGTTCTGGTGCAGAGGGTTAAGCTGCAGCTTCCAACACTGGCATCCCAAATCAGAGCACCAGTTTGAGCACTTGCTGCTCCGCTTGTGATTCAGCTTCCTGCTAATGTGTGAGGGAAGGCAGTGCACGATGACCCACCCAGATGCCTAGGGTCCTGCCACCTGCCTGGGAGACCTGCATGAATTTCCAGGCTCCTGGCTATGGCCTTGCTCAGCCTAGGTTGTTGCAGCCATTTGGGGAGTGAACTAGTAAATTGGTGAGCGGGAAGATCTTTCTTTCTCTCTGTAACTCTGCCTTGCAAATAAATAAATGAGTAAGTCAATGAATCTGTTTTTAAAGAGCCTTGTAAATATTATTTTTTTCACTTTTATTTAATGAATATAAATTTCCAAAGTACAGCTTATGGATTACAATGGCTTTTTCCTCCAATAACTTCCCTCCCGCCTGCAACCCTACCATCTCCCGCTCCCTCTCCATTCCATTCTAACTATGATCAGAGTCGGCGAACTCAAAAGGCTTCCATAGCCTTGGCAACTCATGACAAGAGCCTAGGGTGATTACTGATGCCATAAACAAGAGTGTCAATTTGATAAGTCAACAACAGGAGTCACTGTGTACTTACTCCTCATGTAGGATCTCTGTCCTTAATGTGTTGTTCAATGTGAATTAATGCTATAACTAGTACTGAAACAGTATTTTACACTTTGTGTTTCCATGTAGGTGCAAACTGATGAAATCTTTACTTAATATACACTAAATCGATCTTCTGTATATAAAGATAATTGAAAATGAATCTTGATGTGAATGGAATGGGAGAGGGAGCAGGAGATGGGAGGGGTGCAAGTCGGAGGGAAATTATGGGGGGGGGGGAAGCCATTGTAATCCATAAACTGTACTTCGGAAATTTATATTTACTAAATAAAAAAAAGAAATTGAAAAGTAGTAAATTAAGGGGGATACACTGCAATGTGCTCTTCTTTCTAGGTGAGAAGTAATGATAGATATTATCAATAAAATGGAATAACTGACACAGACACATAGCAGCATGGAGAACGAAAAATAACAAAAGGAGTTCCCACTGCTTTGTTTATAAAATGTACTTTAAAGATTATCACAGGACTGAAAACAAGTAGAGAAATATCTAAGGGTATGACATCCTTAACCATAAAGACCCAACCAAACAAAATCCCTTGATACAAACCAGAGTTAAGAATTCCTGAATAGACAGCAAATAAGGAGAGGAAAGCAAAAAGATAAAGCTACTCCAAGGTCTGTCATTCTCAGGAGACTAAGCCCTAAATAACTCTCAATGCAAAGGTGGTCAAGCTTCTGATTCATCTAAGTTCAGAGTCTAAACTCAAGACTTTGGAGTAAGTTAAAAGATAAAAGTCACCCAAGTTTATAGTGTCTCCAACTTAGAAACAAATATTCATATCTGCATTAAAGTTTTTCTGATAAAAATTTCCAAGGATTATCATAAATTAAAATCAAACAAATATGAATTCACAAAACCATCAAAAACACAAGAAAATTTCTTTTTTAAAAAATTAGATCTTCAGGGATTTCAGTAAATTGAATTCTTAAAGTCTGAACATAAAACATTTTAGCCTAAAATACTTACTTTTAAAGTTTTATTTAATCAAAAGACAGAGTGATAGAAAGCAGGACAGAGAGAAAGAGATCTTCCACCTGTTGGTTCACTTCCCAAATGGCCAGAACGGCTGAGGATGGGCCAGGCCAAGCCAGGAGTCCAGAATTCCATCCAGGTTTCTCTGTACGTAGCAAGAACCCAAGTACTTGAATCATCATCTGCTGCCTCCCAGGTTACACTAGCAAGGAGTTAGATCAGAAGCAGAGCAGCTGGGATTTGAACCAACACTATGATTTGGGATGCTGGTGTTGCAAGTGGCAATTAACCTACTGCACCATAACACTGTCACCCAAGCATAAAATGTTTAAAGAAATAAATTATGTAATAATGAAAACAAGAATTTAATATGAACCAATAAAAATTATTAGGTAAGAAGAATAAAAGAGAACTTTTATTTTAAGAGATTTTATTTATTTATTTGAGAGGTAGAGTTACAGAGAGAGAGGAGAGACAAAAAGATCTTCTAACTGCTGGTTCACTCCTCAAATGGCTACAATGGCTGGAGCTGAGCTGATCCAAAGTAAGGAGCTAGGAGCTTCTTCTGGGTCTCCCAGGTAGGTATGGAGGCCCAAGCACTTGGGCCATCTTCCACTGCTTTCTCAGGCCTTGAGTAGAGAGCTGGATCAGAAGAAGAGCAGCCAGGACTAGAACTGGTACTATATGGAATGGCAGCACTACAGGCAGAGGCTTAGCACACTACGCTATAATATGGCCCCCAAAAGAGAGTATTTAGAAATGTAATTTAATCACTAAAATTAAATGACACAAAGAATTAGTGAACTAACAGATGTATACACAGAAGAAAAAGAAGATTAAAAAACAGAGTAGGGGCAGGCGTTATGCTGCAGTAGCTTGGGCTGCCTCCTGGGACAGATGCATCCCATATCGGAGTGCTGGTTTGGGTCCCAGTCACTCTGCTTTGATTCCAGCTTCCCAGTAATGCACCCTTGGAATGCAGTGGATCACAGCCCAAGTACTTGGGTCTCTACTACCCATGTGGGAGACATGGATAGAGTTTCCAGGTTCCTGGTTTCAGTTTGGTCCAGCATGGGCCCTTGTGGGTACTGGGGAGTGAATGAACAGATGAAAGATCTCGCTCTCTTGTTTTTTCAGCATTTATCTCTCATTTGACCGTTCTGCCTTTCAAATAAATAAATCTTTTTAAAAATATATATAGGGTTCTGGTCACCGCTACAGCGCACTAGGCTAATTCTCCACCTGCGGCACCAGTACTCTGGGTTCTAGTCCTGGCTGGGGCACCGGATTCTGTCCCAGTTGCTCCTCTTCCAGTCCAGCTCTCTGCTGTGGCCCAGGAAGGCAGTGGAGGATGGCCCAAGTGCTTGGGCCCTGCACCTGCATGGGAGACCAGGAGGAGGCACCTGGCTCCTGGCTTCGGATTGGGAAGACCTTTCTCTCTGTCTCTCTAACTCTGCCTGTCAAAAAAAAATAGATAGATAGATAGATAGATAGATATAGGATATATATATATATATATACAGGGTATATATACATATATATAGGGTGTGTGTGTGTGTGTGTGTGTGTGTATAGTTCCAAGATGGCCAAACAGGGAAATGACGTACTGATTCAGGCAAGGGGAAAATAGTAACAAAAAAAGTGGAGGAAGTACATTCCCAGGATAGAATTGGAGAGAAATCTGCAGTGGAAATTCTACAGAAGGAGGAAGAATACCACAAATTATCAAGGAAGGTGTAGACCCACAGCAATGAACACAGACACAAGACACAATCCCTGCAGCTGAGAGCTGGAGGAAGTGCCAGCTTTGGAGACCAAGGGGAGAGCAGACTGCAGCAGCCTGTGCCACTGGTAATATGCTAGAGGGAGAGTCTGGTGGAGCAAGTCTTTGAATGTGGCCAGAAACTGTAATGGGGGACAGGGTACCCGCCTAACCCAGCAAAAAAAGGGCAAATTTCTTTCTTCTCATGTCCTCACAAAGATTCCCAGCAACCATCAGTGAGAAGGTACAATTTTAACATCAGTGGCAGCTGTGAAGGCTCCAGTGCATGCCCAAAAACTAGTGTCAAGAAAGTGCGCTTTTGACAGCAGTAGCAACTGCAGTCTCTTGTGTGCATGCCTGGCAACTGGTGGCAATGAGGCACCATTTTGACAGCAGTTGTGGTTGTGGTGGCTGTTGTACATGTGTGTGATCAGGGGATTTTGCCAGAGGGAAAAATCCATGTTTCCCACTGACTTTGAGTCTGGCTAGGAGGATTGATGGGGGCTGGGCACCCATGTAGGGTTGTGAGGTGCTCTCAGCCTCTGAACATAAACAGGCTCTGGGCTCAAACCACCAGGTGTAGCACCCACAGGCAGCTAGCACTGGAAATGTCTCTGCTTCCTCCATGGATTGGACAGGCTAGTGTGGTGGAGTGGATCCTCTGTACCCCATAACTGTGAGAGCCTTGTGCACTGAGATGGTAGGAACTCTGTGACTGTATAATAGGATGCAGGGTGTAGCTGGGTCTTTGGGTAATCACTTCGTGTGGCATCAGAGGCTCAGAGTTCCCAGACTGCTGGGGTGGGGGTCACTGCAGTGTGATCTGTGCTTACACTATGGAGTGCACAGATCCTTTCTGTGGTTCATGCTATAGTGTAGGGGAGTACTGCATCAACTATGGGCTAACCGAATGCATTGATCACCATGGAAGAGAAGAGGTGAGGGTGTGATTATGCCAAGAGAGGTGATCATACCTTCCCTCTGCTGCAACAGATTTACCACACCAAACTTAGGTGTCACCTTGGATATTTATCCCACCCTGGAGCACTGACTAGAGCTCCCTGGCCAAACCTAGCACATGTCACTGGATATTCACTGAAAGAGTAGACACTCCACTAAGCTACAGAGGTAATCAAAGATAAAAGGCATCAGAGGAAAAAACCAACAAATATCTCCACAA